GCCCGGGTGGGTGGCCAGATGTGCCGGGGCCAGCTGCTGCCAGTGGTGGAGCGTCAGTGAGCCTGAACAAGCAATGTCACAATGTTATACACTGTGTGCACAATTATTAGGCAAAATGTATTTTTGAGGATTAACTTTATTATTGAACAGCATTCAACAAAATTAGCACAGTAGACTACAAGTCAAAAACATGAGGCTAATAACATTAGCTTAAATCAAAATCAGATAGCTAATCTGTTATGTCATATCCTAGCTAATATACATTACTTTCTCCTTTTTAACTTAACAGTCTACTGTACACATCAGATCATGTAGCTAACACGTTACCTTCCATGGGCTTGACAATCTGAAGCTTCTCAGGGAGGAAGGTCTTAAAAACACCGGAGGTGATGGAGAGCTCTGACAGGTTAGAGAATGAGGACAGCACACTGCCCATTGGCGAGCTGCAGCTGCTGCCCTCTCCGTCTGCCTCCACTCCTGCCAGGGCTTGCAGCTTCTTCTCCCGCTCATCCTGGAAGAACTGACGCTCAGACAGGAAGTTCTGTCGCCGTAGCGACAGGCGGTGGAGGGCTCTGGTGAGGTCGTTTCCTCCTGGAGAGCTAGGCTGACCCATTCGTGACTCCTCTCTGCAGACACATTTATTGAGGTAACACTTCATTATTAGGTTAAAATACAAGACAGAAAGTTAACATTCTTTGTAACATACCTCTGGGTGGAGTGGAAGGGCTGTGCAGTCATCACTAGTGAACTCTGTCCTGAGCCGGGGATACGAGGAGTGGCCAAAGCTGCCCGAGAAGCATTGACAGAGCGGACCGTCTGGAAGACTCGCTTCTGGGATATTCTGCAGGGAACCAGAGCTTATTAAACAGTGGGATTTAATTGTTGCAAAGCAGCAGAAAATGGAAATATCTGTCCCGTCTCTCCCTGACTCCACGTCTTCTTCAACCTGAAGGTTGTCTCAGAGACAAAGAAAAGAAAAAAAATCCTGGGGTGACACTTGAGTTTCTAACCTTTGGTCCTGAAAGGCGGTCTGTTCATCTACACTCAGCTCTCTCCTCATGGTGCCTTCAATCTCTGCTGCCAGGGAGTCCTGTACACACACATTCATCACACACTTAAAGGTGTCCTCTAAAAGCTTTCAATCACTGGTATAATAGCAATCTGAATAAAATGTATCTGCAAGTTGTACAGTCTCTCTTGATCTGTTCGGATTAAACTATCAGACGGTATAAATCATTGTGTGCATCCTTTATGTCTAAAACGTTTAAGAACTGTACCTGTAAACTAAATCTGTAATTCCCAAGGTTCTGTATTCTCAAATGTTTGGTTTTTTTGTCTTTGGTCTATGGTCTATCTTTGTTTTAATAGTGTATATTGAATCTGTTGCTGTAAGATTGTTTCTCTCACCATGGGGTAGAGGCCATAGGGAAGGTGCCTTCGCATCCCAGCAGAGGGAGTGTTTTTACTGCGAAGTTCCTTGATCTCCTCCTGTGACTCATGGAGCATCTCTTCACATTCGGCATTCTCTCCGCCAACTCGTTCAGCTGTGCCCACACACATTAATATAAGACATGGTTATTTAAATGACTTTGCTTATTTAACTACTGAATACAGAAGCAAAGGATGAGATTTAATAATTATTTATGTATTAGTTTAGACTGTAAATGTATCGTTTGTCAGCTGAAATGTCTTGACAAAATAAATCGCTACATCTATTAATGGATTTTCAAATTTAACATAAGTACTAATTAAAACATAATTAAATCATTATAAATTTGGTTCGTGATTGCATGAGACCTCACCTCTGCTGTGAGCTGTCTCTGAGCATCTTTGGAGGCCTGCAGGTGGATCCTCAACTCCTCTTTCTCCAGAGCCAGCTGTACAGAAGCACAACACAGTTGCACACACTAATCTGTGATAACCACACATCATGTCAGGTCAGTATGACACCATTTATTTCTTTATACCTGGATCATTATGCTCTATAAAAAGATCATGGTTTCCACTCCTGCAGTAAGAGGCCTACCCAATTGTTAAACATGTCTTATAGCAGAAAATGTACTTATGTATGAAATCCTGTGTTATGATTATATATATATATATATATATATATATCATGTGTACTGTTCTGGGAGAGCAGCTGAGCGATTTCTTCCTGGTGTCTGAGCAGCTCCTCATTCTTCTGAGACAGTTCGTCTGTCAGAGACACCATCTGGCTGCTGGACTCACCTAGGAACACACCGGCCACAATTAAAAAGAGCCCTCTGCAAATTATATTGCACGCAACGTGTGTGCGTGTGCATTTCACTCACGGAGCTCCTTGACACAGTCGCTCACCAGCTGCTGCTCTTTCTCCTCATAGGTGATGGTGTCTCTCTTCAGCTGACATGCCTGGAGTGTTGAAGAACCAGTTAGCACCTCCAACACCATTTTCCTGATTGGCCCACGGTGTAAAATATAATCTTATGTGCCAACCCTCTGTCATCTGTAGCAGTGATTATACTGACTTCTCAAATTGTGGCTACAATTGAATGCTTCCCGTTTCACTTCCTATTATTTTCTGTTCCAGCGATTCATCGTCTCAGCTGAACCAGCCACCCTGTATTTGTGAGAACCCCGTACCTCAGACCTCAGAGTCAGGTTCTCCTCTTCCAGGTCCTGCAGCTTGGTCTGAAGAGCCTCCAGCTGGATGAGTGCAGTGGCGGCAGTGGGTCCCCCCAGTGGCGGGGGCTGCCGCAGGGGGGTGGACACACTGGAGTCGGTCTCACTCTCCTCTGAGACGCTGGCCACCATCCGCAGCAACTCATCCTTCTTACTGAGTTCATGTTGCAGCTGATGAACCTGGTCAACGGTTTTATACATTACGCCAATACATCTTTATCCTTTAAATGTACTACAATATCTGCAGATTTATTCTGAGATGTCCTTATACAGTATGTGTCATGCATGTAGCCGCTTAACCGTTTCTTTTTAAATGTATTTATTGTAGGTGGTCTTCATACTTGTATCAGATTTGACTTAGAAACTTAACACCCCTTTTTGTTACTGTCATTTCTAAAGAAAAGGAGAAACAAGATTTTAAATTTAAAGAACACTCCTCAAGTTTAATGTTTAATATACCTGGTCTAGGGCCTGTGCTAGCTGCTCATCTATGGCTTCATTGCGTTCTTGAAGCAGGTGGTTCCTCTGCAGAAGTGACTGACCGATGCGAGCTGCCAGCTCCAAGTCTCTGTCCCGCTGTCCAACAGAAGCACAGGACACCCAGGCTCAGGTGCTGTTTCTCAGTAGAAAGCAAACAGCTACAACTAAAGGAACACCTACCTCAGCCAAAAGGTGTGTAACCACTTCAATGTCATTGTACGTCTTGGTCATCTGCTCCACGCGATCAGCGCTGAGGACTGGCCCAGAGAGACAATTTTACTTACAGGACACAGATAAACAAACAAACACACTCATGCAATCCACTATGCACATTGTGGCATGTGTATGCACACAAACAGTTAAATATGAAAACACCACATCACTCCACGCTAATGGTCACAATTGTGTAGCATGCTATGTTTACATACTTCCTAATAAAATACTCTGACCACAAGCAACATGAGCAGCTCAGAATGTGCACATAGCATCAGCAGCCAGTCATTAACCGATGCTATGCATAGTAATTTATGCGCTCCACAACGTGGCAGTGTGGTTGCTAGTGGTCTGATTGTAAGCCACAAAATCCCTGCAGACATGAAAAGACCACACACACACACACTATATATGGTACTACAGTACTACAGGCTGACCTATACTACACAAATCTCTTGACTGCTGTCATCTACATGCAAAAAGTGGTGGGGGGGGGGCTAAAAGAGCTAAAAGAGGGAGAGTAGAACAGGCAGAGAGGGAGTAAAAGATACCTTTGGAGAGGCTCTGAGAGCCGGGGTGGGAATAAGAGGAGGGCTCCAAAGCAAGATACGCTAGTGAGAGACAGAAGAGAAAGAAATGAAGGGAAAATAATTCAAAAGGGGTAGAAGCACAGACAGGCAACACAGAGACAGAAAGAAGCAGAGAGTGAAAGCTGAAGCTTCAATAAATCAACTTCATATAGATACATTAGTTTGTTGAGAGTCGGGGAATCTACATGTTAATTAGCTGGGTCCACTTTTGGCACCTGAGTGGGTCTCACCAGCACTGCAGCGCTGCCTCTTCCACCTGTTTAAAGAAAAGTGGCATCTCTAATCATTGAAACAGTTGCACGGACTGAGGACAGACTCTGGACTCGACCTACATGTAGCCACAGTGGCCCTACAAACTTCATCTTTAATTTGTCTGTAGTGAATCGATATATACACTCAACGACCACTGCATTAGTTACACCTGTTCAACTGCTTGTTAATGCAAATATGTAATCAGCCAATTGCATGGCAGCAACTCGGTTCATTTAGGCATGTAGACATGGTCACGACGATCTACTGAAAACCAAGCATCAGAATGGGGAAGAAAGGTGATTTAAGTGACTTTGAAAGTGACGCGGTTGTTGGTGCCAGATGGTCTGGTCTGAGTATTTCAGAAACGGCTGACCTACTAGAATTTTCACACACAACAATCTCTAGGGTTTACAGAGAGTAGGCTGAAAAAGAGAAAATATCGAGTGAGTGGCAGTTCTCTGGGCAAAATGCCTTCTCAGGGGAGGATGGCCAGACTGATTTGAGCTGATAGAAAGGCAACAGTAACTCAAATAACCACTTGTTACAAACAAGGTATGCCAAAGAGCATCTTTGAACACACCACACATCAAACCTGGGGGGATGGGTTACAGCAGCAGAACACCACACCGGGTGCCACTCCTGTCAGCTAAGAACAGGAAACTGAGGCTACAATTTGCAAGGCACCACCAAAATTAGACAAAACATTGGCTGCTCTAATGAGTCTTGATTTCTGCTGCGACATTAGGACGGTAGGATCAGAATTTGGTGTAAACAACATGAAAGCATGGATCCACCCTGTCTTGTATTAAATGGTTCAGGCTAATGGTGGTGGTGAAATGGGTTTTGGCCCCTTAGCACCGAAGGAGCTCCGTTTAAATGCCACAGCCTACCTGAGTATTGCTGCTGACCATGTCCATCCCTTTACACCAACCCAGTACCAGCAAGGTGTACCTAATAAAGTGTATTTCAGCAAGGATTAAATGTAATAAGCAGCCTGAAGTGAAGCAGGTGTTTAAATGCAGGAGAGCTGTTGTTCAGTCATCTGAAGCCACAGTGACCTCTGGATCTGGACGTTGCACTCTCCTCCAGCAACCAGCAGTTAAAAATAACCTCTGCACAGACAGATAGAGTACAATCTCTGACGGTACTGTACACTTAAACGCCAAGTGCACTTCCACACACTTACACGAATATGCCTATACCTGCTGGGTGCAGTAACGTGTATATCCGTAATCCGTTTTGATCTCTACCAGACTAAAGACTGGTAGAAACTAAAGATTTTAATTCACTGCATAAACATGATCATGCACTAAAGTGGGATGTGTTTACTGAACTCTGGCCACAATAAATTGAACAACTACAAATTCCATGTAACTTTCATACTGATTCATGGAGTGCACACACACTATGAAGCAGGACACACACCCATGAGATCAGATCTACAGTTTCCCTGACTAAAAGCATTAGAGGCGACTATGGCCTGATCCTTTAAATTCTATACTTCTATGCTCTGCAATAAAAATAGCAAATACTCTCACTGGCCACTTTATTAGGTACACTTGTACAATTGTGCGCACTTCAGTGCAACACTTCCTCCTTAACATTTGTGTTTATGAAGCTCAAAATGTTTCAGTTGTTGGTGAAATTGTCGTAAATGTATCATTTCAATTATATGTTCATTATTGAGGCCATAGATAAAGGTGGTGTTGTACTGGACTACACTGAATATTGTGTTCCTAATATTCTGACCCTCTCATGTATGTAGCTGGGGAGGACAGAAATATAGACTTCATAAACACAGAAGTTAAGGTGGAAGTGTTGCATTTAAGTGCATACAATTGTACAGGCATACCCAATAAAGTGGTTGGTGAGTGTATTTCCAGCATTTTTGAAACAAAAAAAGAGACACCTGAAACACTGTGTATATAATATACACATATTAACATGCCAAGCCTGTGCAAGTGTGTCAGGCCCCATTAATAGGCCATGTCTGCTTTTACACTGCGGAAGTGGAGCAGGCGAGAATATGAAACTAAGATTCCCTTACTTCTCTCTAACATGTGCAGTTAACACTCCACAAAACCATGCAACCAAAAGTATTCTGCATCTACAGATATGTTAATGAAATGTCATGGAAACAACAAGGGGCTCAAACTCACAAAAGAAACATGTCTTGCAAATTGTGCACGCGTGAGAAAATTGCATAGACAGGAAGTCTATCAAACTGTCAACACTGTGTTCACATACCACAACTTGTTTGAATTTAAATACACAAGCACCGAGTCGCTCCCTTCCTCTTTCCGCGGCTGAAAATACACACACACACACACACACACACGCACACACACACAAATACTGCATACAGTATACATGTTCCCCTCCAGCTGGTCATGTTCTACCTGACCTTGCAGACATGACTGAAGCTGCTTCTAAAGTGACCCTACCTCACGTCTGTCTGTCACTCACACTCACACTCACACACACACACACACACACACACAGTTTATGTTTCGTAGTCCATGGGGACTTTACATTGACTTACAAGCATTTCCTGTAGACTAACCTTAACCAGAACCACTAGTTGCCTAACCCTAACCCTAAACCATGCTGCCACCCTAAAATTCAATTTCTTGCCCATGGGGACCTCAATTTAGGTCCTCACCGTGAAATGGGTCCTCATGAGTTGGTATGGAGTCGGGAAGAAGTCCCCACGTAACAGGGAAAACACGTCTCCACGCGCACACACACACACACACACACACCAAGCACCACACCAACAACTCTGCTCACCTTCTATAGCAAACTTATCATAAGCCTCCTCATTCTGGATGTTTAAAAACTGCATGTTCCTTGATCTATTTACTGTCCACCCTTCATCCTCTGTCTCTCCACTCTGAACACCCTCCTCCCATGCCAACATGTATCCCGTGACTCGGGCTGACGCTTGCATTCAGCTACACTTACTCTGGCTGGACCTCACTGCCTTTTCACACACACTGTGTCAGAGCTGCACAGCATACACAGGCAGAAACAGACAGACAGGATGACAACCCTGTGCCAGATAATGTCAATGGTAAATCCCTGTGATTTTAACTGACGAGGATGTACGTTGCATAAAATGAACCCATCATTAATGCACAGAGATACACCAACACACCTCTGCTCAGTGGTGTTGTCACAAGCCTGACCAATCAAAAGACAGTTGGCAAGGGGCAGAAAACAAAGCTACACAGAAATGTATAGTGGCCATTGTCATCCTGACCCCAAGTTTTATGAAATGCACACACTTACTCATGTAGCGGAAAGTCTCCTCTGCCAGCATGGTGGAGATGGCGTTGAGCTGGCCGGGGCCTTCATCTGGTGAGCAGCTCGGGGAAACCACCCAGTCCTGGCTGTCTGACAGGTAGATGGAGCCAGCTGAGCCAGAGCCCACTGAGCCGGAGCCGCCATGCCTCCCGCTGCTGCCCAGGCCCTCATCTGGAGGTAACATTTAGGGCCCAGCAATGAATTCACTATTGGTTAACTGAGCATCTTCTAGACTTGCAAGGTTTCTGGCTATAGTTAGTCATTAGACAGAGCATACTGTTCTTCTAGGGAGCATGACACTGGCCTCAAATGTACTCAAAGCTACCAGCTGCTATCTCATTGATAATACTGCAGTATCAATACAATTTTAATAGATAACACAGCTCAAGCCCCCTACCCGTCTCAGTGCTCGACTCCTTCTTCTCCACCGCCCGGGGTTTGACTTCAAACATATCCTGTCTTTGGAGCGGGGGTCTCCCCACTCGCAAACACAAAGCTGGATTGGAAAATGAAAGCTGCTATCGCTGTGACATCACATCCTGTTCCTGGGCTGACGGGTGGTGCCCATGCGCACCTTTACCTGCAACAAAAGAGCGTTGCTGTTAGGTGTCAAACGTCAAGTTGACTTAACTCACGTTTGTAAGACAAATTAGAGATGATAAATGTTTCACTTAATTTGCAAAGTTGGTGGTGAGGCAGACTGCAGAGGATAATTGATTGCTGTTGGACACTTTAACTGCTAATTTTCTGGCATCTAGTTTAGGATTTCAGATTTCAGTTAATCCTTAAAATCTCAAGAAGCTAAAGGATTTCTACTATTTCCCATCTGAGAAGGGGAGTTTTCACGTTAGGTCATTTAGTGACAATTCACGGGACAAAATATAGCCACAAGCGCAAACTATAATGCAAATCTGACACATTTACATTTCTTTCTTATGTGCCAAATACTGTTTTATGGGGGCCTGCTGAGGTTGAGTCAGAGTCCTCCCACATCCTGTTACATCTCTGCAGGGACTGTTCCAGGCCTTAAAGGGATGACTGGAGGAATGAGACAGGATGTGCTCTCTTAGAGAGACAGATTCCCAGTAGAATATTGGGAAAAGGAAAGGCATTTAGTCTTTGTCTTTGGTGCCAACCACAAAGTCTGTCTTTTATTAGTCTGGCATGCATAATGAGTGACTTCACATTTATGCCAAATAAGCTGCAGCTGCTTCAAACATGAAAACCAGGAATTAACAGGTGCCATCAAAAAAAAAAAGGAATCTAAGTAACACAGTAACATTTTCTATGAAATTAGAATTACACTTCTATGAAGTTGGTGGGCTTGTAATAGAAGCAGCAGAGGTAGAGATACACCCCAAATCCTGTTCCCATAATGCAACTACACGGCATATTTCATTTAACATCCCCTGCCTAATACGATATAGGATAACCTCATTAACAAATTATTAACCTTGATTTGGCCTGTGCATGTAGATAAACATATGGGTGGGTGTGTATCAGCAAGTACGCCTGTGGAACGAGAGTCCTTGGGTTTGCTCCATAAAGGAGATTACTGGGATGCATGCAACAGTACAGCCTAAATGTGATGTTTACCATTAAGAGGCCTGGCAGATACACTGGACCAACCCATTAAGGACACCAGTATTGACTGAATGCTGAATTGCTATAGGCATATGGAGCAACTCTATGCGTATAATGCTGCATGTATTAATCATTAGTATGAGGTGGGTAAAGCAATTCTGCATCCATTTATATTCATCCAAGCACCATGCTTCAGATATCACTTCTTCTTTTCCTTGTGTTCAAATACCAGTGCTGATGTCATCCAAGTGCCAGTGAGTCATCTCATGAGTAACATTGTCATAATCAGAAGGCTTCTTTCTTATGATGCAGCACAGTCTTCTTGTTGGTTAAAATAATTACATTTTAAAAAACTGTACCTCTTTGACTCCTTGACACCCAAAAACACTCAAATGACACGGCCAGGTAAAATAAATTAAAGGGATACTTATGGTGTCCATTAATGACTACACACACAACTTCCTTCAGTTTACAGATGCTGGAGAAAATTCTGACCATAGTCTGGAAACCGCCACTTAATGTTGGTGAGTAATTACTGCACATTGTAAAGACGTAAAATGCTAAGCACAGTAGCGAGTCTGTAGCCCTAAAAGTAACTCAGAGAGCAGCAGCATTATACACACAGCTGTCCCAGAACGTCTGCTTACTTCAGCTTTTTACAGACTTCATCTCCTGTCTAATGTGAGTTCAAAGTGGAGAAAGAAATCCCTTTTGGCTTTTATTTTTTCAGCTGCCAGTTATTTGCCTTGCTTCTCTGTCTCCAATTGTGATTCATCACAACATCTGCACTTACATGACAGTTCAAAGGGTTGACAGTAGACCAATACTGAACTGCTAAAATGATTTTTAGACAGTTATATCAAAAAATATTTTATACAAAATATCCAGCTGTTTACTTATTACATAATATATACTATCTTTTAAATTTCCTATTCTAACATCTTATGTCAACTAAATACTGTGCAAAACAAATATGGTCTTAAGTGGCCAGTGTCACGGCTGGTATTGGATTTCAGACAAAATGTAACACTTCCTCAAAGAGCCAGAGTATACTGGTTTATAAAGATTTCTCAGTACAGTAACATCTGAGGGTTTAAGAAGGTAGCCGCCACTATAACTGCAGGTTGTTGTTATTTGGGAGGTTTGGGGTCTTATCCTGAATTAATAACATGAAAGAGGGAGGTCTGCAGGGAACTCTGTTCGCAGGTTCATGGTAGTCAATTACTGAGTAAATATCTCTGTCATAAAACCTCAAGCAGTGTTTGGAGCTTTAATACGTTTCAAATATGCCACCTTAGTGTGAGAGGTTAAGCTTTATTCCTGTGTCCAGGGGTTAGCATATCGTGGCCTTCATACACCACCTTAGATCTAAAAAAGGGACAGAGCCTGGGGACTTACTTCATGTGACAATGAACGGACCAGAGACTTCAACTGCATAACAAAAAATCTCTGACTGGATCAGCAGGCATTCTTTGTTTTGCTTGGCCAAATGAAGAAAACTATACAATTTAATGCTCCTATCACATACAACATGTGATCAGACTGGCAGCTAACATCACTATCCCCTATGTGCCCTCTATCTAATACGAGAAAAATGTTTAGCCCACACAGTTTGAAAAACCTTAATCTTAAAGTAATGTCTGGTCTGCAAACCACCAGTTATATGGTTCAAATTCAACAGTTACAGAAATTGGCTGCATGTAACTCCTGCAACCATCTTCCATCCTGCTTCTTGGCTGCTTAGAACATATGTAAAAAAAATATATATATATATCCAAGGTAAGAGCTCACAGCATTACAATTCTTTATTATTTCTAAACGTATGAATGAAGGTGATAATGATGCCTTGCTAAACACACTGGGTTAGCTAACGTTACCAATGTTTTCTCCGGGACATCTAACGTTTATACCTAGAGGTCTGAAGGGGAGTTAGCTTTTATTCATTTAATAAAACCTCCTTCAATTTAACCTAACACTGTGTGCAACAACATGAGCATTAGCTAACGTTTTCCTTGACGAGGATGACAGCTTCACTGTTGCTTTGAATGACGCTGGCCAAACAAAATCACGAGCTCAAACTGGGAGCATATCTCTCACGCGGTGAGCAACACAGCACCACAAAAACTGAACAATGTGATTAATTTATCAAAACTTACCCTACATCGACAATAATCCATAGTATGAGCAACTCCAGAGCTACATGCGGTATCTGTCAAACCCTTCACTAAAACCTCAAACAATGGAGGGGAAGGAAAGGAGGTGGCCATCAGCTGCACCAATCACTAGTGTGCGACAGTAAACTCGATGACGTCTTTATTAAGCGTCAAATTAAAACCCCTGTCAAAATATAACATTTTCTGTATTTGATATTGTGCGGTTTGATAATGTCAAGCGCGTTTCTTTTGGCAGACCCCGTGTACCTTTGACACAAAGTAAACCAATATGAGCTTTATTAACAAAACGTCGTTTAGGATATCAGTCTTTCCTTTGTATTTTAACTTGTTTACGTCGAATCGCTAGAACCTCTGTCGAACGGAGAAGGTAAGCCGCTTCTTTTCAAAAGGGGGAATTTCAGATAAATACAATCGATATAAGACCCCCTTCTAAAAAACTAAGTTTACGCCATTTAAGCTTGACCCATGCACTATATTGACATTAGTAAGCTCATCTGGGAAACGGCTGACCTACATTATGCCTATTATTGTTTTGTGCAGCATTTGTGTTGTCGTTTTTCTGTCTTCACACATGAAATAACTCAACGTGTAATAAAACAACGTTACCTAAAACAAATCAGTTACCCTATATGTTTGCCAAAAGTCAGATTAATTAACCGTCGGTTCGAATAATAGTCGACCCCTGATTGAACTAAAATGGCTGCGGTTGTTTTAACCTTGACTGGAATTGAGTTTGATAATTATATTTTGACATTATTGCAATTCGTGTAATCAACAAATGAAGCCTTATTAAGCTACTACGCCCTGACACCCAAAACAAAAAGAAATTGTGTGGAAAAAATGTTAATTCATCGGGAATGTGTAGTCCTGTAACAACTATTGTTTTCTAGGCTTCACCACAGTTTTTGTTCTCATGTCAACACCTGCACGGACTCGACTGGTCGGGGATCTCCATTGGTGAATTCCCCATCATTTCCTCAGATCTCTGAGATCAGCTGATGCAGCCAGGTAAGCGACAGGCTGGTGGGTGAATGGCTGGTGTTGAATGAATGCAGGCTTTCTAGTATAGTGAGGGGATCCTTCGTTTGTCTCATATTACACTGCTGCGCTTCTTCCCCTTGTCTCCCTCCATCGCGGTCGGTCTCCTGCAGCCTGTGAGCGGATGAATGCCAAAGCCCGCGATTTTACCTCCGCCAAAAGGACTCCATGTCTTTCTTGGTAAGAATATCACGCTACATGAGTTTTTCTCTATGCCTCCGTGCATGTCGATGAGTTGTGACCTAACAGATGTATAGTCATGAATCAGTTGGCTCTTGGTGATGCCTCAAGTGGGATATGGTAACAGCCAGTCAGCCTCTTTAAGTGTAAAAATTAGGATAAGGATGCACCAATATTTATTAGAGATTAGCTAATATCAAAGCAATGAGAGAAATATGTTTGATTATGTTTGTTTGAGTTAGCAGCTAAATATTTGTCTGAATCTGAATTTACATATTTAATATGAGCTAATGTAGACTGGAAAATATCAGATAGTAATATTGACAATCTGTGCACCATTTATATATAAAATGGGAAAATCTAATTATGTATGCAGCTCTTATCTTGCTCTGTTGGGACACATCAGTCAGTCACCTGTCTCTTTGTTGCCTATTATCATCATTCTAATTGCTTTTCCCCTCACCACTTTCAATAAAATGCCCTGAGTGCCTTCATAGCCCATATTTCCCAACGCTTGCTTCTCTGTCTCATCTCATCTCTGACCTCTTCGCCCTCCCTGAGGCAGTGTATCACTTAAAACTTGCACTCCAAGCTCCATGTTTCCTCTATACTCCTCCTTGTCCTGTCAGGCATGTCTCACCTGTGCTCCTCCCCCTTCACCAGGACTGTTCCTGCATCTCCCACACTCAGGTCCAGCCCATGGACATAGAGGAGTGCTATGAGGACACCAGCCACCAGTTCCTGGTCAGTAGCCAAGAAACTGTCAGCATGGAGACAGGTGTCACACTGAACCTCTTCATTCATTCATCTTCTATGCCGCTGAACCTCTTCATCCTGTCACCATTATCCATTTATCATGTCGCTGGAGCTGTTTACCCCATTTTAAAGTCAGTGACTATTGGAATAACATTTCAGATGTTAAATCTATTGGGTAATGCCTAAACTGGCAATCCACTTAATTAGGATTGCACTTCCTGAAACTTTGGGAACTCACAAGAAACTGGTTAAAATAAGAGTGATCCACACTGGTGCAACTGAGGCCAAGATATCCTAACTTTAAGCCTTTAATAAGGGTAACAGCCCAAAAACACTGCATACTACATAATTCCCATAATCCAATGCCATACTCTTTTTTTTCTTCTTATTAGACCCATTATGTCTGGTGAATCCCCATGTCTCGCAAATTCTCATTTTATAACAGAGGCTTTTTGTAATGAATTTGACATCCCAAGCTGAAGTCATAACGCTGAGCCAAAGAAAACATTATGCGACTATTTCTGCAGGCAAGATTTTAACCTGAAACTGATCTTCATGTCTAAAATCCTTATAAATATAATAACAATTTTCATGATCTCACTAGAGAAACTGGCTATTCTATGATATTTATAACTATAATCATTCTCACTGCCCTGTATATTTAGCAATTATTAAGAATTACTTAAGGTATGAAGGCTAAAACTAATAAAACTCATTCAGCAAGAGCCACTCTCTCTGTGTCTGCATCAGTAAAACAGCAAGCATCAACCCCCCTTTGCTCATTTTGCTGTCACTGTACCGCCCCCTGGTGGTCATTGTCCCCTCACACATGACCTCACCACAGCAGCAGTTCTTTAACCTAGTGACCTCTGCAGAGTTTAGCCCTTTTGTGGCAGGAGATGTCTCTGGAAAGCTAGTTAAGTCAAGGTAGATTGGTCATTAGTGTATATAAGAAGCATTACTAAAGGGACAGTAAGTGAAATATTTTACAATAATCATAAATGACTATGATGTATAGTAGCTGAAAAGGCTCTCTATCCTTGTTAATAAGAAGTGACTGAACAGTCATTGTTTCAGGTAGAGATTTTTTTGTCCTTACCCTGTTTTTTTGTGTTGAAACCTAGTGCACTTCCATCCTGCCAACTCACAAATTCAGCTGATGGTGCTCCAAACCAGCAACAAAGCATATTTAATATGATTCTGGTATGTTGCATGCTGCAGTTTTGCCTTTTCATTAAATCCTTCAGTTGTGGTCTGTGGATGTGTGCATCCCTGCAGAGCTGTGATGGTTCTGAATACACTCTGCAAGGGCCAGCAGGTGGCGACGACATCACAGGACTGTCGGCCGAGCCATCCCACTACCGGCTGCTGTCTGAGCTGGGTGAGAGCATCGCAGCATACACTTGAGTCAGACAATTTCAGCAGAAACGGAAGCTTACTGATGTTGTACCTAATCTCCATTTTAAACCTTTCGAAACAACATTTAAACATTTCACTTTAGGTCAACTGAATGTGTTACAGGGAGGGGTTTCAATAACCTGAGCCAGGTGAACATGGCACGGCACATCCCTACCGGCCAGCTGGTGGCTGTCAAACAAACCAACCTGGACGAGTGCACAGAGGAGGAGCTGCTGCAGCTCATGGTGAGCTGCTGTCCAGAAACAGCAATTTATGTAAAGGATATTTTTTCTGAGCATGTGCAGTTCAAAAAGCCTCGAGTGTGATGAAGTCTGATTGTGCTTCAATCCCCAGAATGAGGTTCTGCTGTCCAGGCTTTTTCGTCACCCCAATCTGCTGACCTCTCGCCTGGTCTTTAGCTCCTGCTGCCAGCTGTGGGTCCTCACACCGCTCATGGGCTATGGTCAGCTACTACCACACCTTAATAAAGTTGCTTTGTTCTTAAAATCCATCTAATTCAATAAGAGCTGATTAGTGTGAGGAGTTGATACTTTTCTTTGTCATACTTGATAGTGACTGCATATCTTTGAGTTTTGGACTGTTGCTCAGATTAAACAAGATATTTGAAGACGTACCATAAATCACTGCTGCTTTTCTGCCCTCTGCTCTCTTGCCTGCAGGCTCTGCAGACACCTTGCTGAGGACATATTTCCCAGATGGGATGAGTGAATCCCTGATAGCATACCTGCTGTATGGTGTGCTGAAAGCATTGGAATACCTACATCGGATGGGCTATGTTCACCGGTCAGTGGGAGACAGTCAATGCTATAAGAGGAATGAAGGATAAAAAATATTTGTATTTGAATGTCTTTGTTTTCCATTCCTCCCCTATCAGTGGGGTGAAGGCCAGTCATATCCTGCTGTCAGGGGAGGGGCACGTCTACCTCTCAGGGCTGCACAGTGTTTACAGTATGATGCGTGATGGGAAGAGGATGAGGGTGGTGTTTGACATGCCCCATCACAGCCCTGCTCTGCTGCCGTGGCTCAGCCCTGAACTACTGCGACAGGTTCAGACTCTTTAGCTTAAGCCAGAGACTAGTGGGCATCCTGCTGGAGTGTTTTCTCAGCCTTATTCTATGTACTCTGTCTCTCCTGTCCCTATGGTGTTGTCCTCAGCAGGACCTGCACGGTTATGGAGTCAAGTCAGATATCTACAGTTTGGGCATTGTGGCCTGTGAGCTGGTTAGCGGCAGAGTACCTTTCCAGGACATGCCACCTACTCAGGTAATGAAAAGCTTCAATTCAAACTGCCTTACAAGAATATGTAAAGATTTAGCATTAAAGGGTTGTTTTATTAAATTTCCACTGTTTGAATCTTGCTATCCAGATGTTGCTCCAGAAGCTGCGGGGCTCTCACTGCTGCCTGATGGATGTGGTCCCTTTCCCACTGGGTGAGCTGGGAGGTCTGAAAGTGTCACGGTCTGGGGTCGACTCTGGCATCGGGGAGAGTGTGGCCACTGGAAGCCTGACACACAGTGCCACCGTTCCTCCCACCGACAGACCTCAGAGCCCCGGACCTAAAAACCATTCAGCTACCCTGCACAACCTGGTCCAGCTGTGTCTGCAGCAGCAGCCTGAACACAGGTCATTACATTTCTGCAACAGTCACCTTTATTTAACAGTGCATCAGATGATTGTATTCCCATACAGTACAAACTCATCCACCTTAATGAAAATGCAGCATTTGTGTTGTCCTACTTTTCTCCTCTATAGACCATCAGCATCTGCACTCTTGACCCATGCCTTCTTCAAGCAGGTGGGTTTCTAAGTGGAGTTCTATTAGCCAATATGTCTAAAATTATGTTTTTGTGAAACCACACTGAGTTGTGCTGTTCTGACAGGTAAAGAGGCACACCAGAGACTCCTTCCTCAGCCTCATGTACCCAGCAGTGCCCCTCACCAGCCCCGAGGACCCTCCAATATCCTGCGCCCCTACCCCGTCCTGCCACGCTCCATCACCAGCCGCGGACACTCCCGAGGCTGTGTGGGACTTCTCTTAACCCCTTCCTCTCTAGCCTCAACTCGCCAAATCCTGACTTTAAAGCCAAACACAAGACAATCAAAGCAAAACAATAGCAATGACACCAAATTCTCCTTGTGCTTTTATTTTTTTATTATTAATAACCCAGTTCTGAGTCTTTTTAATTAGTTTTGTAGTTATTTTTTAAACGTTTATCTGATGCATAAGTGGACTTCGGGTTGTGGGTTGGTGAGGTGACTGTGAAAGTACGGGATTGAGAAGCTGCTCTGGTTATAAAACAATAGATGGTAATAATAGTGTACTGTCAACAAGTCACATGGCAGCAGACTTACCCGTTCAGGCAACTACGAGTTGGAAGGGAGTCCTCCCAACAATACTTTGTCTCGGTATATTTTGTCATTTTTAATCGCGTTCTTTTCATATTTCCATGGTTGATAGTTACTGTAGATCCTTCTTTCTGCTCAAAAGGCCTCACTAGTTGAATATGAAATGGAAAATTGGATGCACCATAAAGTTAAATCCTAATGGGTACTGACAGATAACCCCTGAGTGTGAGACACTATGTGAGGGTGGCTTTTTCCTTGCAGTGTTATACTGTATCCTTACTGTGAATAGTGAATACCGAGGTACACAGATTTAAAACACATGTGCATATATATTCATTTATATGAGAGGTTTTCAAACAGTCGAATGGGGAGGCAGATGTTTGTGCATAACGTTTTGAAAACTGGCCACAATCAAATATGTAAATACATTTTTGTTGTATTTCTGAACATATATGCACATACTGTTCATGTATAGTCTAACATATTGGCACGTTTTCCGAGTGAACAGGATATGGTGTAGAGTGGGCTCAGAAAGAGCACAAGCAATAGAATACATCTCAGAAACCATCAGTAGAAACAACAGATCAAACCTGTCCCTGCCCTGATCATCGGTGATTTGCCAAATGAATATTTCTACTGTGTTCTGTCTGTAACTGTGATTAAATGTACTGTGTATGGGAACTGTGATTTACAGTACATATCAAACATGGTAGTAATTATGACTTTGTCACAATTACAAGGAAAAGAGCCTCCAGTTTTTTATTTGAGTGCAATTCACTTCTGCAGCTTTCCAACTACAGAGTAACTGTGTTATTCCATATGAGCCCACCTGACACGATTTCAGCACATGTCAGTCCCAGGAACCTGAATAAATTACACCTCACCCTTCCCTCCCTATTGTAATCAGACACACAACCAAAAGATTTTGACCTGCATCGATCTGCAACCAAAGACTTTATGGAGGATTATTTTACCCCACATTCAAAAGAAAATGAAAAAGAAACAAACATTTGGGTGAAATAATCCTCTATATTAGGCTCTGCAAACAAAAACCCTGTGCACCAAGAGCAAAGGTTGTAGATGAGCAACCAAAATGGACAAACGGCAAACAAAAAGTGTTCAATCTTTTTTTGTTTGAAATGAAATTAGTTCAGATTTCAATCAGTTTATATATGACATTCAAAACGGTACCAATAGTTTGCTCTCAAAATGTTTTCTTTGCAGAGTAAAGAAACAAAAATTGCCTCCTATAAAAAGGACATTT